ATAGCTCAAGCGAGGACAATACATGTTTTAGGAGGCCTATCAATAGTCTATTTCCACTATAAACCTCTAACAACATATTACCGGCCCTAATTTGGGTAATGGCAGTATTATGACACGCTCCACAATCTATGTAGAAACTAAACGTCAAGAGAGTGGCAGTAGGATCAAGTCGGAACCAGTTCATGGATACAACTCCACACGAGTAACGACCATTTCGCGTGCTGTGGTAAGCTCTTCTCTCTGCGTGAAGGCGCTTTAAGGCAATGGCGGTATCGATTAGAATCGCGACTCTACATCTATTTACAAGTATCACGTCGGGCGCCTAGGTTAGTGCAGCCGAGTGTACAGCCTTGCGAGGCCTTATAATCAGAGGCCCCACTCCTTATCTCTGTAGTGGAGTAACAGTGGAATCATGAGCGTCACCACACTTAACAGACCGGAGAGAGGTGTTCGGGCTGTTCCGTAATTTGACCTGTCGTCGCGCTATTGAATCGTTATTTTGACACTAAGAGCATGAACAGTGTGTGAGCTGGTAAAAATCATATTTTTTTTAAAAATAATTTTCTATCGAGAATATAAACATTTATCACTTTGAATATAATCCTAAACCAGATATAACATGAAAGTCATCACACACGGGTCCACATCTCGGTCTCGGTTGAATTCATATACAAATGCGGAGAGAATTAATTTGTTCAGAAATATTTCTCATACTGAACTATAGGAGCTGTGTGCCTCGCGAGATACACGCGTACACGATAAACTCTTGGCAGCCGCTAGCTAGCACATCGCCACGAGGACGCCCTGTCTCTGAGTGCGGGTTCGTATGGCACTTTCTACCCATACTTGATTTTTGCTTGTAACTAGCAAGGGATATGGTTGTTACTCGCGTCTTGTAACTTATCAGACATACTACTAGAGGCACGTTTTCCCTATATATATGGTGTAGTGTCATGGGTTCGTTATTAAAGCCCAGGGTTAGTCACCTGCGGCTGCACCACTTATGTATCCTTTATGGCGTGCTCTGTCTTCATTCATTTATCATTGGGATGTGTTGCGAGGAGTCTCTCTCTCACCGGGCACGCTCTGGCGGGGCGTAGGGGGCGGGAGTAGCGTGAGGTAGGGAGAGGATAGAGCGAAAAGACCAAGGCGGAGAAAATACTCTAAATCTGGTTTTTTTGGCACTATAAATTGATGTCTGTGAGATAATTACCATTATCATAATCATAAGGTATTGAGTGACCTGTTTATATATTATTAATTTCTTTTTGATATTATAAATCATGTTCACTATCACTAGTGAATAAGAGAAACTAGAATAGGAAAGAGAGAAAAATCAGAATAAGATGAGGAGAGCTAAATAAATGGATTCAGATAAATGAAGTATAATTTTTTTACGAGTCTAGTACACTTATAATATAAACATATTGTATGTCTTCAATCATACTAAATGACTTAGAAAACATGTCGAATACTATATAACAGATCATAATATTATGAGGTCCACATAGTAAATGGATGGATACAATCATAGCTGAAATAAACAGCATCTGAGAGAAACTTATAAAATTAATGATACTGCTTTATTGCGTGTACATATCACTTACGTCGAGTCATAATGTATGAGAAAGATACAGGAGCGCATATCAAATAGAAATAATAACAAATATCCGTTTATTTTATCATGTACTGTATATATGTACTTACTGCTATATTGAATATAATAATATGTATATCTCCAACAGCTATATATTAACTTATATTATTAAGTAATATATATATATATAATATATACTATACATCAGACTAATATATATGGTCTATATATATAATATATATATACATATATATATATATATAGTAATAATATATATATATATATATATATAATATAAATATATATAGAGAGAGAGAGAGAGAGAGAGAGAGAGAGAGAGAGAGAGAGAGAAAGAGAGAGAGAGAGAAGAATGAGTGAAAGGACCGTGCAGCGCAATGAATGTGTAAAAAAGGGAAGGATGCCTCACCAAGGGCTGCTAAAGCATAAAGGACACACACACGCACATATATGAGTTTATTATTTCTTCTAAATATTTTTCCGCCCATTAACTTCATAATATATACCTGTACTTTGTTAAGATTTATTGAATTCTATCCTTCGCTCTATGTAATTTTGTTTTTGTCTTATACTATACAAATTTTATCATGTATGTCGTGCACTCCAATGTTATACTTTAATTAAACAGTATAAGATCAAATTATGAATGGTGTTAATATCGTGGATATGTGGATTTTAAGATATTATAAACTATCTGTTTTGTTCTTAAATTGCTCGCATCTATCTAAGTCGTATGTGTGACGAGTGAAATAATTGCATAATATAGTTGTCAGGAGAATAACACATGAGATTGAAGATTTCTCTAAAAATACAAATAATAGAAACAAAGCAACGCACAGTAGATTATTAAAACTTAAGCTCCATATATTTCTGGTAATTAATTAGTTCTTGAGACATCGCGTGCATTCAGTATAAAAAACAACTTTACCACACCTTGAGATGATAAGGAGGGCTGAGATACTAAACATTTACATTATTCTGATCTTCATTGCTAACAACTAACAACGATCATTAATACTGGTAACACATGAAAAGTTACACTTTTCTTGACTGGCACAGCACGCACACACATTAATTCGCACACACGACAACAGCACACACCACATATGAAACACACACACAACCACACACACCTAGACAAGGTGCCACACACCAACACACACAACACACAATATGCTGTATTATTGACCACCCAAGCGGCACCACCACCAGGTGTAACAATATCTGCATCATTCAACATTACCTATTCACACACACACACACATACACACACACACAGCAGACACAGAGGGGCAGTATAGTTTCTCCACATACATATTGTTTTTTGTCGTTCTGCATTTATTGACATTTTTATGGCTGGATGTGGACTGTTGTGCTCTGATATACCAACCACTAAAAGCATTGTCAAACGCGGAAATAATCACTTAGTCGTGCAGGAAACTCCCTTCGACCTTAAATAGGGGCGGAGTTAGGCGCGAGTCTGAACATATAACCACGAGATAATCAACGAGAATGCCTAACTACAGGGGCCCGAGCACTTGCCAGCAGTAAGTCTCATACATGTATATATTTATTAGTAAAAATGGTGGTGGTCTTGTTGGTTGGTTTTGTTGTTTATTAAAGTTTTTCATATATATATATATTTTCGTTTTATGTTTTTGTTGTTAATGATATTTACCGTATTGTGGTTGTGAGGTGAGGTTAGTTGATGTCTTGGAGTACTTGTGATGTGGTTTAGTGGTGATAGTGATGTGATGTGTGTGTAGTGGTGTGTGTGTGTGTTTATAACACCTACTACCAAACACACAGCATCATACACCACACGCTCGAGCTCTCCATCATCATAGCAAATCCGTAGCAGTGAAGGCCACCACACACCCTCACAACACCCACGCACCACACACACTACACAACAACACACACACGATCACCAATCAAGACACAGACCCCGACACAACACCAGCACACACACAACGACACACACGACAAAGCACCACACATATGTATAAATAAGGTGTTATTAATTAAGGTCGGTGTGTGGATGAGTGTGTGCTGTGTAGTGTGCTGTGTGTGGTGTGTGTTGTCTGTTGGTGAGTGTGATCTGTGTGTGATGTGTGGTGTTGTGTGTTCCATCACACACACAACGACACCACACACAGCACTCACCACACACTGCGGACACAACCACACACACACACACCACACCACCACACACACATTCGATCCACTGCGAGCGAGATATAGTTACATATATATATATATATATATATCTATATACATATAGCGGTTGAATCAACTACTACGCTATGTGTGTGTGTGATGAGCGTGTCGCTGGTGTGTGTGATGTGTGTGGTGTGCTGATGTGTGTAATGTGCGTGTGTGTGTGTCGTGGGTGCTGGTGGTTGTGGTTTTTTCTCTTTTTTTTTGTGTCTCTGTTTTTTTTCCTCTTTGTTTGGTCTTTTCGTTTGTGTTATTTACCTTTTATTTTGTGTGTGTGTGTGTATTAGTCTTGATACAACACCGAGACAACAGCACTCAGCTCACTACAGTGAGACACACCACACACGCATCTCCTACACGCGCACACACACCACACATCACCAACACACACACATATATATATATGATATTTATAGATCACCGCCAGTACGTCATACTCGAGATGGAGAGCGCACGGTCTAGTGAGGGGGTAATGCGGTGGTGTGAGTGCTGTGTGGTGTCGTCTCCGCATGTGTGGTGTGTCTCGTGTGTGGTGTGGTAGTGTGGTGTGGTGTGTGTGTGGATGTGTGTGCGTGTCGTGCTAAGGCGTGTGTGTGCGCTGGGTGTATGTGTGTGAGGCACATACAGCACTAGCGAGCGACGACAGCACAGTCGCAGCGACAGCGAGACACGTTCCTTTCCGTCATTACTGCGTGTGCCCATTCCATCCTCAGTTTTTATATATAATAGTAATATTACTGTTAGATAATATATTATATAATTATATATACTAAGACTCATACTACGTTATTGTAATAATCTTTAAAGGTTATAATTTGGTACTAATGCCCTAGTATATTATACTATGGAGCTACTCTATTCACTTACTAATATATACCACTTGTCACGTATACTGATTATAATGTACGTCTACTGCTATTTGACGTATATATGAGTCATACTATATATATATTCTAGTCTATACTGAGTCATACTAAACTAATAAATAGTATAGTAGTACCGTCTCTATTGCCTAACACAGTATCAAGTTTAGAGCTTAGATATTCCATGCAACACTGAAACTGAGATTAATAATTTATATCAAGTAGAAGGTTTACTCTCTATAATTGGTAGCGCAATCGTGTATTATTCGATTCTGAAAAATTACACGAAATCACGATTACTG